ATCAATGGGTGCCAATGGGTGTCAATGGGCTCCAACAGAAATGAATGGGAGTCAATGGGAGTCAATGGGTGTCAATGGGACTCAATGGGTGTCAATGGGACTCAATGGGTGCCAATGGGAGTCAATGGGAGTCAATGGAAATGAATGGGAGCCAATAGAAATCAATGGCAGCCAATGGGAGCCTCCTACCCCACCCCCTCCCTTCCTAATTAACCCACCCTCATTAGCATCGTTAATTAAGACCTCCTCCCCACCTTGCACTCCTCGTCCAGCAGATCCAGGATGCCCAATTTGCCCTCAATTAAGTCGATGCACGGCTGATTATCGCAGAACTCAATCAAGCTCCAGGGGATGCCTTCCTTCACGTACTCCTCTTGCTCCAATTTGAATACATGCTAATGAGGGAAGGGGGGGCCTCGTTAGCGTATGCAAATCGGGGCCGCCCCCGAGCCAATCCCGCCGCCCCGCCTCCTCACCACGTTGAACTGCTGCTGGAGTTTCTCGTTAGCGTAATTAATGCAGAACTGCTCAAAGCTGTTGGTGGCGAAGGTCTCGAAGCTGGGGAGGAAGAGGGGCATTATGGGATTGCTGGGGGCTTATGGGATCTTATGGGGTCCTATGGGGTCTTATGGGGTCTTATGGGGTCTTATGGGTCCTATGGGGTCCTATGGGATCTTATAGGGTTCTATGGGGTCTTATGGGGTCTTATGGGGTCTTACGGGTCCTATGGGGTCTTATGGGGGATTATGGAGTCCTATAGGGTCCTATGGGGTCCTATGGGCTCTTATGGGGTCTTACGGGGTCTTATGGGGATTTATGGGGTCCTATGGGGTCTTATGGGGTCTCATGGGGTTCTGTGGGGTCTTATGGGGTCCTATAGGGTCTTATGGGGTTCTATGGGGTCTTATGGGGTCTTATGGGGTCCTATGGGGTCTTATGGGGTTCTATGGGGTCCTATGAGGTCTTATGGGGTCCTATGTGGTCATATGGGATCTTATAGGGTCCTATGGGGTCCTATGGGGTCCTATGGGGTCCTATGGGGTCTTATGGGGTCTTATAGGGTCCTATGGGGTCCCATGGGGTCCTTATAGGGCCCGTGCCCCCCATATTGTACCCATAGATATCCAGCACCCCGATGAAGCGCTGCCGTTCCTTATGGAGCCCTATGGGGTGTTATGGGGTCTTATGGGGTCCTATGGGGTGCTATGGGGTCTTATGGGGTCCTATGGGGTCTTATGGGTCTTATGGGATGTTATGGGGTCCTAAAAGGTCTTATGGGGTCTTATGGGGTCCTATGGGGTCTTAAGGGGACCTATGGGGTCTTATGGGGTCCTATGGGGTCTTATGGGGTCCTATGGGGTCTTATGGGGTTCTATGGGGTCCTCTGGGGTCTTATGGGGTCCTATGGGGTCTAATGAGGTCTTATGGGGTCGTATGGTGTCCTATGGGGTGCTATGGCGTCCTATGGGGTCTTATGGGGTCTTATGGGGTTATATGGGGTCTTATGGGGTCTTATGGGGTCTTATGGGGTCCTATGGGGTCTTATGGGGTCTTATGGGGTTCTATGGGGTCTTATAGGGTCCTAAGGGATCTTATGGGGTTCTATGGGGTCTTATGGGGTTCTATGGGGTCCTCTGGGGTCTTATGGGGTCCTATGGGGTCTAATGAGGTCTTATGGGGTCGTATGGTGTCCTATGGGGTGCTATGGCGTCCTATGGGGTCTTATGGGGTCCTATGGGGTCTAATGAGGTCTTATGGGGTCGTATGGGGTCCTATGAGGTCTAATGGGGTCTTATGGGGTCTTAAGGTGTCTTATGGGGTTTTCTGGGGTCCTATGGGGTCCTATGGGTCCTATGGCGTCTTATGGGGTTTTATGGGGTTTTATGGCGTCTTATGGGGTCCTATGGGATCTAATGGGGTCCTATGACCTCTTATAGGGTCCCATGGGGTCCTTATAGGGCCCGTGCCCCCCATATTGTACCCATAGATATCCAGCACCCCGATGAAGCGCTGCCGTTCCTTATGGAGACCTACGGGGTCCTATGGGATCTTATAGGGTCCTATGGGGTCCTATGGGGTCCTATGGGGTCCTATGGGGTCTTATAGGGTCCTATGGGGGTCCTAAGGGGTCTTATGGGGTCCTATGGGGTTCTATGGGGTCTTATGGGGTCTTATGGGATCCTATGGGGTCCTATGGGGTCTTATGGTGTCCTATGGGGTCCTATGGCGTCCTATGGGGTCTTATGGGGTCTTATGGGGTCCTATGGGGTCCTATGGGGTCTTATGGGGTCCTATGGGGGTCCTAAGGGGTCTTATGGGGTCCTATGGGGTTCTATGGGGTCTTATGGGGTCTTATGGGATCCTATGGAGTCCTATGGGGTCTTATAGGGTCCTATGGGGTTCTATGGGGTCTTATGGGGTCCTATGGGGTCTTATGGGGTCTTATGGGGTCCTATGGGGTCCTATGAGGTCTTATGGGGTCTTATGGGGTCTTATGGGGTCTTATGGGGGATTATGGAGTCCTATAGGGTCCTATTAGGTCCTATGGGGTCCTATGGGCTCTTATGGGGTCTTACGGGGTCTTATGGGGATTTATGGGGTCCTATGGGGTCTTATGGGATCCTATGGGGTTCTATGGGGTCCTATGGGGTCTTATGGGGTCCTATGGGGTTCTATGGGGTCTTATGGGGTCTTATGGGGTCTTATGGGGTCTTATGGGGTCTTATGGGGTCCTATGGGGTCTTATGGGGTCCAATGGGGTCCTATGGGGTCTTATGGAGTTTTATGGGGTCCTATGGGGTCCTATGGGGTCTTATGGGGTCCTATGAGGTCTTATAGGGTTCTATGGGGTCCTAAGGGGTCTTATAGGGTCTTATGGGGTTCTATGGTGTCTTATAGGGTCTTATGGGGTCCTATGGGGTCTTATGGGGTGCTATGGGGTCTTATGGGGTCTTATGGGGTCCTATGGGGTCCTATGGGGTCCTATGGGGTCCTATGGGGTCTTATGGGGTCTTGTGGGGTCCTATGGGGTCCTATGGGGTCTTATACGGTCCTATAGGGTCCTAAGGGATCTTATGGGGTCTTATGGGGTCTTATGGGGTCTTATGGGGTCTTATGGGGTCCTATAGAGTCTTATGGGGTCTTATGGGGTCCTATGGGATCTTATAGGGTCCTATGGGGTCTTATGGGGTGCTATGGCGTCCTATGGGCTCTTATGGGGTCCTATGGGGTCCTATGGGCTCTTATGGGGTCCTATGGGGTCCTATGGGATCTTATAGGGTCCTATGGGGTCTTATGGGGTCCTATGGCGTCCTATGGGCTCTTATGGGGTCCTATGGGGTCCTATGGGCTCTTATGGGGTCTTATGGGGTCCTATGGGATCTTATAGGGTCCTATGGGGTCTTATGGGGTCCTATGGTGTCCTATGGGCTCTTATGGGGTCCTACAGGGTTTTATGCGGTCTTATGGGGTCCTATGGGGTCCTATGGGGTCTTATGGGGTCCTATGGCGTCCTATGGGGTCTTATGGGGTCCTACGGGGTCTTATGGGGTCTTATGGGGTCCTATGGGGTCCTATGGGGTCCTATGGGGTCTTATGGGGTCCTATGGCGTCCTATGGGGTCCTATGGGGTCCCATGGGGTCCTTATAGGGCCCGTGCCCCCCATATTGTACCCATAGATATCCAGCACCCCGATGAAGCGCTGCCGTTCCTTATGGAGCCCTATGGGGTCTTATGGGGTCTTATGGGGTCCTATGGGGTCCTATGGGGTCCTATGGGGTCTTACGGGGTCCTATGGGGTCTTATGGGGTCCTATGGTGTCGTATGGGGTCCTATGGGGCCTTATGGGGTCCTATGGGGTCTTGCAGTGTTCAATGGGGCCTTAAGGGGTTCTATGGGGTCTTCTGAGGTTCTATGGGGTCTTATGGGGTCTTATGGGGCTCTATGGGGTCTTATGGGGTCCTATGGGGTCTTATGTGGTGCTATGGGCACTTTTGGGGCTCTATGGGGTCTTATGTCTTATGGGGTCCTATGGGGTCCTACGGGGTTTTATGGGGTCTTATGGGGTCCTATGGGGTCTTATGGGGTCTTATGGGATCCTATGGGCTCTTATGGGGTCTTATAGAGCTGCATGGGGTCCTATGGGGTCCTATAGGGTCCTATGGGGTCCTATGGGGGCTTATGGGATCTTATGGGGTCCTATGGGGTCTTATGGGATCCTATGGGGTCCAGTGGGGTCTTATGGGGTCCTATTGGGTCCTATGGGGTCCTTGTAGGGCCCGTTCCCCCATATTGTACCCATAGATATCCAGCACCCCGATGAATCGCTGCCGTTCCTTATGGAGTCCTATGGGGTGTTATGGGGTCCTATGGGGTCCTATGGGGTCTTATGGGGTGCTATGGGGTCCTATGGGGTCTTATGGGGTCTTATGGGGTCCTATGGGGTCTTATGGAGTCCTATGAGGTCCTAGGGGGTCTTATAGGGTCTTATAGGGTCCTCTGGGGTCCTCTGGGGTCTTATGGGGTTCTATGGGGTCTTATGGGGTCTTATGGGGTCCTATGGGGTCTTATGGGGTTCTATGGGGTCCTATGAGGTCTTATGGGGTCCTATGTGGTCATATGGGATCTTATAGGGTCCTATGGGGTCCTATGGGGTCCTATGGGGTCTTATGGCCTCTTATAGGGTCCCATGGGGTCCTTATAGGGCCCGTCCCCCCCATATTGTACCCATAGATATCCAGCACCCCGATGAATCGCTGCCGTTCCTCGGCGCCCCTCAGGGCCCCGTTGAGGATCTCCAACACCCAGAGGAAGAGCCGAGCGTAAAGGAATTTGGCCAGAGCGTCTCGAGCTGCCAGGACCTGCGAGGCGGCCATGTTGGTCACGCAGCTTTCAGCGGCGGCCCGCAGGCGACGGTGGCAGAGCCAATGGGCGACGGGGGGGGGGTCGAGGGTCAGCAGGGTGCAGAAGTGGGTCAGGTGGGGGTCGTCGTCCTGGTGGGGGGTTGTTAAGGGGGGTTAATTAGGGTGGAGGGGGTTAATTAGGATGGAGGGGTTAATTGGGGGTTAATTGGGGGGGAAGGAAGGGGGTGGGGGGGAGAAATGGGGGGTGGGGGGTGAGGGAAGGGGGAGGGAAGGGGGGAAGGGAGGGTAGGAGGAAGTGAAAGTGAAAGTGAAAGTGAAAGTGAAAGTGAAAGTAAAAGGGACAGGAAGTCGAATGGGAAGAGGAAGAAGAAGGGGAAGGAGAAGAGAAAGTGAAAGGGAAAGGGAAAGAGGAAGTGAGAGGGAAAGGGACAGGAAGTTGAATGGGAAGAGGAAGGGGAAGGGGAAGGAGAAGAGGAAGTGGAAGGGAAAGAAACAGGAAGTCGAATGGGAAGAGGAAGAGGAAGGGGAAGGGAACAGGAAAAGGGGAAGAGGAAGCGGAAGGGAACGAAACAGGAAGTTGAATGGGAAGAGGAAGAGGAGCAGGAAAGGGAGAAGAGGAAGTGGAAGGGAACGAAACAGGAAGTTGAATGGGAAGAGAAAGAGGAAGGGGAAGGGAGAAGAGGAAGTGGAAGTGAAAGGGACAGGAAGTTGAATGGGAAGAGGAAGGGGAAGGGAAAGGAAGGGGGGGGTCGAGGGTCAGCAGGGCGCAGAAGTGGGTCAGGTGGGGGTCGTCGTCCTGGTGGGGGGGGTCGTTAAGGGGGGTTAATTAGGGTGGAGGGGGTTAATTAGGATGGAGGGGTTCATTGGGGGTTAATTGGGGGGGAAGGAAGGGGGTGGGGGGGAGAAATGGGGGGTGGGGGGTGAGGGAAGGGGGAGGGAAGGGGGGAAGGGAGGGTAGGAGGAAGTGAAAGTGAAAGTGAAAGTAAAAGGGACAGGAAGTTGAATGGGAAGAGGAAGAGGAAGAGGAAAGGGAAGAGAGCAGGAGAACAGGAAGCGGAAGTGAAAGTGAAAGGGACAGGAAGTTGAATGGGGAGAGGAAGAGGAAGAGGAAGGAGAAGAGGAAGTGGAAGGGAAAGAAACAGGACGTTGAATGGGGAGAGGAAGAGGAAGAGGAAGGAGAAGAGGAAGAGGAAGCGGAAGTGAAAGGGAAAGGGACAGGAAGTTGAATGGGAAGAGGAAGAGGAGAAGGAAAAGGGGAAGAGGAAGCGGAAGGGAAAGAAACAGGAAGTTGAATGGGAAGAGGAAGAGGAAGGGGAAGGGAATGGGGGCAGGAAAACAGGAAGAGGAAGTGGAAGTGAAAGGGACAGGAAGTCGAATGGGAAGAGGAAGAGGAAGGGGAAGGGAGCAGGAAAAGGGGAAGAGGAAGCGGAAGGGAAAGGGACAGGAAGTTGAATGGGAAGAGGAAGAGGAAGGGAAAGGAGAAGAGGAAGCGGAAGTGAAAGTGAAAGTGAAAGGGACAGGAAGTTGAATGGGAAGAGGAAGAGGAAGGGGAAGGGAACAGGAAAACAGGAAGAGGAAGCGGAAGTGAGAGGGGGGAAGGGAAACAGGAAGTGGCCGTACCGAAACGCTGCTGGCCTCGCCGTCCCGTTCGGCCTTCACTTCCACGTTGCCCAGATGCAAGATGGCGGCCAGGAGGCGGAAAATGGCGGCCTGCTGAGCTTCCGGAACTCCTAGAAGGAGATGGCGGCCTCTCTGTACCTCCATAGGGTGCAACTCTATGGTTGTGGAGGACTTCCGGGCACGGGGAGCCCAAAATGGAGTCCTCCAAGAGGAGATTGGGTACTCTGTACCCCCATGGGATGCAACTCTATGGTTGTGGAGGACCTCCAGGGATAGAGAGCCCAAAATGGAGTCCTCCAAGTGGAAGCTGAACTCTCTGTACCTCCATAGGGAGCAACTCTATGGTTGTGGAGGACTTCCGGGCACGGGGAGCCCAAAATGGAGTCCTCCAAGCAACCCCTGTGCCGCTCTGTACAACCATGGGCAGCAACTCTGTGGTTCTGGAGGACCTCCAAGGATAGAGAGCCCAAAATGCAGTCCTCCAAGAGGAGACTGGTCACTCTGTACCCCCATGGGATGCAACTCTATGGTTGTGGAGGACCTCCAGGGATAGAGAGCCCAAAATGGAGTCCTCCAAGTGGAAGCTGAACTCTCTGTACCTCCATAGGGAGCAACTCTATGGTTGTGGAGGACCTCCAGGGATAGAGAGCCCAAAATGGAGTCCTCCAAGTGGAAGCTGAACTCTCTGTACCTCCATAGGGTGCAACTCTATGGTTGTGGAGGACTTCAGGGCACGGGGAGCCCAAAATGGAGTCCTCCAAGCAACCCCTGTGCCGCTCTGTACCCCCATGGGGCGCAACTTTATGGTTGTGGAGGACCTCCAAGGATAGAGAGCCCAAAATGGAGACATCCAAGCTAAGAGGCCACTCTGTACCCCCATGGGGCTCAACTCTATGGTTGTGGAGGACCTCCAGGTATGGGGAACTCAACAGTGAGTCCTCCAAGCAGGTCCTGGCAGGGATAGGGAGCCAAAATGGAGTCCTCCAAGCAACGGCGCCACTCTGTACCCCCACGGGACTCAACTCTATGGTTGTGGAGGACCTCCACAAGCAGACACCCCTACAAGTGAGTCCTCCAAGCAGGTTCTGGAAGGGATGGGGAGCCAAAATGGCGTCCTCCAAGCAACGGCGCCACTCTGTACCCCCATGGGGCTCAACTCTATGGTTGTGGAGGACCTCCAGGAATGGGGAACTCAACAGTGAGTCCTCCAAGCAGGTCCTGGCAGTAATAGGGAGCCAAAATGGAGTCCTCCAAGCTAAGAGGCCACTCTGTACCCCCATGGGGCTCAACTCTATGGTTGTGGAGGACCTCCACAAGTAGACATCCCTAAAATTGAGTCCTCCAAGCAGGTCCTGGCAGGGATGGGGAGCCAAAATGGCGTCCTCCAAGCAATGGCGCCACTCTGCACCCCCATGGGGCTCAACTCTATGGTTGTGGAGGACCTCCACAAGTAGACACCCCTACAAGTGAGTCCTCCAAGCAGGTCCTGGAAGGGATAGGGAGCCAAAATGGAGTCCTCCAAGCAACGGCGCCACTCTGTACCCCCATGGGGCTCAACTCTATGGTTGTGGAGGACCTCCACGTATGGGGAACTCAACAGTGAGTCCTCCAAGCAGATCCTGGCAGGGATGGGGAGCCAAAATGGAGTCCTCCAAGCAATGGCGCCACTCTGTACCCCCATGGGGCTCAACTCTATGGTTGTGGAGGACCTCCACAAGCAGACACCCCTACAAGTGAGTCCTCCAAGCAGGTTCTGGCAGGGATGGGGAGCCAAAATGGAGTCCTCCAAGCTAAGACGCCACTCTGTACCCCCATGGGATGCAACTCTATGGTTGTGGAGGACCTCCAGGTATGGGGAACTCAACAGTGAGTCCTCCAAGCAGGTCCTGGCAGGGATAGGGAGCCAAAATGGAGTCCTCCAAGCAACGGCGCCACTCTGTACCCCCACGGGACTCAACTCTATGGTTGTGGAGGACCTCCACAAGCAGACACCCCTACAAGTGAGTCCTCCAAGCAGGTTCTGGAAGGGATGGGGAGCCAAAATGGAGTCCTCCAAGCAATGGCGCCACTCTGTACCCCCATGGGGCTCAACTCTATGGCTCTGGAGGACCTCCACAAGTAGACACCCCTACAAGTGAGTCCTCCAAGCAGGTCCTGGCAGGGATGGGGAGCCAAAATGGAGTCCTCCAAGCTAAGACGCCACTCTGTACCCCCATGGGATGCAACTCTATGGTTGTGGAGGACCTCCAGGTATGGGGAACTCAACAGTGAGTCCTCCAAGCAGGTCCTGGAAGGGATGGGGAGCCAAAATGGAGTCCTCCAAGCTATGGCGCCAATCTGTACCCCCATGGGGCTCAACTCTATGGTTCTGGAGGACCTCCACAAGCAGATACCCCTAAAATTGAGTCCTCCAAGCAGGTCCTGGCAGGGACAGAGAGCCAAAATGGAGTCCTCCAAGCAATGGCGCCACTCTGTACCCCCATGGGGCTCAACTCTATGGCTCTGGAGGACCTCCACAAGTAGACACCCCTACAAGTGAGTCCTCCAAGCAGGTCCTGGCAGGGATGGGGAGCCAAAATGGAGTCCTCCAAGCTAAGACGCCACTCTGTACCCCCATGGGATGCAACTCTATGGTTGTGGAGGACCTCCAGGTATGGGGAACTCAACAGTGAGTCCTCCAAGCAGGTCCTGGCAGGGATAGGGAGCCAAAATGGAGTCCTCCAAGCAACGGCGCCACTCTGTACCCCCATGGGGCTCAACTCTATGGTTGTGGAGGACCTCCAGGTATGGGGAACTCAACAGTGAGTCCTCCAAGCAGGTCCTGGAAGGGATGGGGAGCCAAAATGGAGTCCTCCAAGCAACGGCGCCACTCTGTACCCCCATAGGGCTCAACTCTATGGCAAGGGGGGGCCCTTACCCAACGTGCCCAAGGCATTCTGGGTCTTTTCCATCTCCTCGCCGTCGTCCACCCCGTCGATGGCGGCCTCCCCTCCTTGGGAGGTGTAGAAGAAACCCTCGGAACCTTCTAGAAAGAAGCAACGGGGCTAAAAGCAAAACCCCTCGGATCCAAGATGGCGGCTGACCCGGAAGTCAGGGGGTGGAAGGGGGGGGGGGGGGGCACCCATGGGTGCTGCTCACCCAACGCCAGGCTTTGGAATTGGGGGCGGTGGGCGCAGGCGCAGAGCTGGTAGAAGATGTGGTAGTTGCGCTCCTTCTCGGCCTATGGAACGGGGTGGGGGGGGGTATTATGGGATGGCAGCACCCATGGGTGCCCTCTGGGGAGCAGCCGGGGGTGCCGGGGACCTGAGTACGGGGAATGGGTGCCGATTGCAGGCTATGGGGGGTGGGAACCCATGGGTGCTGGAGGGGGGGGGGAAGGGAGGACCCATGGGTGGGGATGGGGGGGAGGTTGGACCCATAGGACCCATAATGGGGCACCCATGGGTGCAGGGGGGGGGTAGGCACCCATAGGACCAAGAATGGGGCACCCATGGGTGCAGAAGCAGAGTAGGCACCCATAGGACCAAGAATAGGGCACCCATGGGTGCAGAAGCAGAGTAGGCACCCATAGGACCCATAATGGGGCACCCATGGGTGCAGAGGAGGAGGATGGTCACCCATAGGACCAAGAATCGGGCACCCATGGGTGCAGAGGAAAGGAGTGGGAACCCATAGGGGTGGGGGGGGAGAACCCATGGGTGGGGGTGGGGGGTGGTTGGACCCATAGGACCCATAATGGGGCACACATGGGTGCAGACGAGGGAGGTGGGCACTCATGGGTGCAGGAATGGGGCACCATAGGGTGCTATGGGGTCCTATGGGGTCTTATGGGGTCCTATGGGGTCCTATGGGGTCCTATGGGGTCTCACGGGGTCCTATGGGGTCCTATGGGGTCCTATGGTGTCTTATGGGGTCCTATGGGGTCTCATGGGTTCTATGGGATCCTATGGGGTCTTATGGGGTTTCATGGGGTCTTATGGGGCCTAATGGGTCTTATGGGGTTTTATGGGGTCTAATGGGGTCTTATGGGATCCTATGGCCCTTATGGGGTCCAATGGGGCCTTATGGGTTCCTATGGGTTCCTATGGGTTCCTATGGGTTCCTATGTGTTCCTATGGGCTCACAGGGGCTCTATGGGGTTTGGGCGCCCCCAGCACCCATGGGTGCCCACCTGCAGGACCACCCTGGACTTCTCCAGCAGGAAGGTGGTGATATGGGATCCTATGGGGTCCTATGGAGTCCTATGGGGTCCGATGGGGTCTTATGGGATCCTATGGGGTCCTATGGGGTCCGATGGGATCCTATGGGGTCCTATGGGTCTTATGGGGTCTTATGGGCCTTATGGGATCCTATGGTGTCCTATGGGGTCCTATTGGGTCCTATGGGGTCTTACGGGGTCTTATGGAGTCCTATGCGGTCTTATGGGGTCCTATGGGGTCTCATGGGGTCCTATGGGTCCTATGAGGTTCTATGGGGTCTTATGGAGCCTTATGGGGTCCTATGGGGTCCTATGGGGTCTTATGGGATCTTATGGGCCTTATGGGGTCTTATGGGGTCCTATGGGTCTTATGGGGTCTTATGGGCCTTATGGGATCCTATGGTGTCCTATGGGGTCCTATGGGGTCCTATGGGGTCTTATGGGGTCTTATGGAGTCCTATGGGGTCTTATGGGGTCCTATGGGGTCTCATGGGGTCCTATGGGTCCTATGAGGTTCTATGGGGTCTTATGGAGCCTTATGGGGTCTTATGGGCCTTATGGGATCCTATGGTGTCCTATGGGGTCCTATGGGGTCCTATGGGGTCTTACGGGGTCCTATGGGGTCCTATGGGGCCTTATGGGGTCTTATGGGGTCTCATGGGTTCTATGGGATCCTATGGGGTCTTATGAGGTCCTATGGGGTCTTATGGGATCCTATGGGGTCTTATGGGGTCCTATGGGGTCTTATGGGATCCTATGGCCCTTATGGGGTCCAATGGGGCCTTATGGGTTCCTATGGGTTCCTATGGGTTCCTATGGGCTCACAGGGGCTCTATAGGGTTCGGGGCGCCCCCAGCACCCATGGGTGCCCACCTGCAGGACCACCCTGGACTTCTCCAGCAGGAAGGTGGTGATGCGGGCGCCCTGCAGGCGCTGCAGGCGGTCGAAGCTCAGCTCCACGTATTTCCCGAAGCGGCTGCTGTTGTCGTTGCGCGTCGTCTTGGCGTTGCCCAGAGCCTACGGGGAATGGGGGGGGAAGGTTGGCACCCATGGGTGCTGCTGGAGGGAGCTGGGAACAGCCAGCATCACTGCAGGCCCCATAGGAACCCATAGAAACCCATAGGAAGCCATAGAAACCCATAAGAACCCACAAGACCCCATAGGACCCCATAAGACCCCATAGGACCCCATAAGACCCCAGTGACCCCATAGGACCCCAATGACCCCATAAGACCCCATAGGACCCCATAAGACCCCATAGGACCCCATAAGACCCCAGTGACTCCATAGGACCCCAATAACCCCATAGAAACCCATTGACCCCATAGGACCCCATAAGGCCCCATAGGACCCCAGTGACCCCATAGAAACCCATAAGACCCCATAAGACCCCATAGGAGCCATAAGACCTCATAAGACCCTATAAGGCTCCAAAGGACCCCATAAGACCCCAATGACCCCATAGAACCCCATAAGACCCCATAAAACCTCATAGGACCCCATAGAACCCCATAACACCATAAAAGACCCCATAAGAGCCCATAGGACCCCATAGGACCCCATAGGACCCCATAAGACCCCATAAGACCGCATAAAAGCCCATAGGACCCCACAAGACCCCATGGGACCCCATAGGACCCCATAAGACCCCATAAGAGCCCATAGGACCCCATAAGACCCCATGGGACCCCATAAGACCCCATAGGAACCCATAAGAGCCCATAGGACCCCATAAGACCCAATGGGACCCCATAAGACCCCATAAAACCCCATAGGTACCCAAAGGCCCCCATACAGCCCCATAAGACCCCATAGAACCTCATAGAACCCCATAAGACCCCATAGAACCCTATAAGACCCCGTAGGAACCCATAGGATACCAGCGCCTACAGGGAATGGGGGAAGGTTGGCACCCATGGGTGCTGCTGGAGGGAGCTGGGAAACAGCCAGCATCACTGCAGGCCCCATAGGAACCCATAGAAACCCATAAGACCCCATAAGACCCCATAAGACCTCATAGGAACCCATAAGGCCCCATAGGACCCCAATGACCCCATAGAAACCCATAAGACCCCATAGGACCCCATAAAGCCCCATAAGATGCATAAGACCCCATAGGACCCCATAAGAGCCCATAAGACCCCAGTGACCCCATAGAAACCCATAAGACCCCATAGAACCCCATAAAGCCCCATAGGACCCCATAGGACCCCAATGACCCCATAGAAACCCATAAGAACCCACAAGACCCCATAGGACCCCATAAGGCCCCATAGGACCCCAATGACCCCATAGGACCCCATAAGGCCCCATAGGACCCCATAAGACCCCATAGAAACCCATAAAACCCCATAGGACCCCATAAAGCCCCATAGGACCCCATAGGACCCCAATGACGCCAGAGAAACCCATAAGACCCCATAGGACCCCATAGGAACCCATAGGAACCTCATAAGACCCCATAGAACCCCATAAGACCCGATAGGAATGCATAGGATCCCATAAGACCCCATAGGACCCCATAAGACCCCATAGGATCCCATAGAAGCCCATAAGACCTTATAAAAGTTCATAAGACTCCATAGAATCCCATAAGACCCCATAGGATCCCAATGATCCCATAGAAACCCATAAGACCCCATAGGAACCCATAAGGCCCCATAGGACCCCATAAGACCCCATAGGACCCCATAAGACCCCGTAAGACCTCATAGGACCCCATAGGACCCCATAAGACCCCATAGGACCCCATAAAGCCCCATAAGACCCCATAGGACCCCATAAGACCCCATAGGACACCATAAGACCCCAATGACGCCATAGAAACCCATAAGACCCCGTAAGACCCCATAAAGCCCCACAGGACCCCATAGGACCCCAAAGGACCCCAGTGACTCCATAGGACCCCATAGGACCCCAATGATCCCATAGAAACCCATAAGACCCCATAGGACCCCATAGGACCTCATAAAACACCATAGAAACCCATAGGACCCCATAAGACCCCATAGGACCGCATGGGACCCCATAAGGCCCCGTAGGACCCCAATGACCCCATAGACCCCATAAGACCTCATAGCCCCCATAAGACCCCATAGAACCTCATAAGACCTCATGGGACCCCATAAGACCCCATAGAACCCCATAGGAGCCATAAGACCTCACAAGACCCTATAAGACCCCATAGGACCCCAAATGACCCCAGTGACTCCACAGGACCCCATAAGACCCCATAAGACCCCAATGACCCCATAAACCCAAAAGACCCCACAGCAGCCAATAAGGTCCCATAAGACCCCAATGACCCATAGAAAACCCATAAGACCCCATAGGAACCCATAGAACCCCATAGCACCCCATAAGACCCCATAGGCCCCATAGGACTCCATAGGCCCCTATAACACCTCATAGAACCCCATAAATCCCCCATATCACCCCATAGGCCCCCATAAGCCTCCATAGCACCCCATAGAGCCCCATAGGCCCCCATAGCACCCGATAAGACCTCAAAGCACCCCACAGCACCCCATAGCACCCCATAGGCCCTCATAGGCCCCCATAGTCCCCCTTGAGCCCAATAGGCCCCCATAGCACCGCATAGGCCCCCATAGGCCCCCATAGGCCCCCATAGGCCCCCATAGGACCCCATAGGCCCCCATAGGCCCCCATAGGACCCCATAGGCCCCCATAGGCCCCCATAGGCCCCCATAGGCCCCCATAGGACCCCATAGGCCCCCATAGGCCCCCATAGGTCCCCATAGGCCCCCATAGCACCCCATAGGACCCCATAGGCCCCCATAAGCCCCCATAGGCCCCCATAGGACCCCATAGGCCCCCATAGGCCCCCATAGAGCCCCATAGGCCCCCATAGGACCCCATAGGACCCCATAAGACCTCATAGCACCCCATAGAACCCCATATCCCCGCATAGCACCCCATAGAACTCCATATCACCCCACAACAACCCATAGGACCCCATAAGACCCCATAGGCCCCGATAGAGCCCCATAGGCCACATAGGCTTCCATAACACCCCATAGGCCCCCATAGCACCCCATAGCACCCCATAGGCCCCCATAGGCCATCATAACACCCCATAGGCACGCATAGCACCCCATAGGCCCCCATAGAGCCCCATAGGGCCCCATAGCACCCCATACCACCCCATAGGCCCCCATAGGCCCCCATAGCAGCCCATAAGGCCTAATAAGACCCTATAAGACCCCATAGCACCCCATAAGACCCCATAAGACCTCATAGCACCCCACAGCACCCCATAGGCCCTCATAGGCCCACACAGAGTCCTATAGACTCCCATAGGCCCCCACAGGACCCCATAGGCCCCCATAGCCCCGCACAGAGCCCCATAACACCCCATAGGCCTGCATAGGCCCCATAGGCCCCCATAGGCCCCCATAGCACCCCATAAGACCTCAACCACATAGGCCCCCACAGCCCCCACAGGCCCCCATAGCACCCCATAGGCCCCCATAGGCCACCATAGCACCCCACAGCACCCCATAGGCTCTCATAGGCCCCCATAGCCCCGCATAGGCCCCCATAGGCCCCCATAGAGCCCAATAGGCCCCCATAGCACCGCATAGGCCCCCATAGGCCCCCATAGGCCCCCATAGGCCTCCATAGCACCCCATAGGCCCCCACAGCACCCCATAGCACCCCATAGGCCCCCATAGACCCCCATAGGCCCCCATAAGAGCAAATAGGCCGCCATAGGACCCCATAGCACCCCATAGGCCCCCATAGGACAAAATAGGGCCCCATAAGACCCCATAGTACCCATAAGACTCCATAGATCCCCATAGCACCAAATAGGTCCCTATAGGCCCACATAACACCCCATAGAGCCCCATAGGCCCCCATAACACCCCATAGGCCCCCATAGGCCCCCATAGGACCCCATAGGCCCCCATAGACCCCCATAGGCCCCCATAAGAGCAAACAGGCCACCATAGGACCCCATAGCACCCCATAGGCTTCCATAGGACAAAATAGGGCCCCATAAGACCCCATAGTACCCATAAGACCCCATAGATCCCCATAGCACCAAATAGGCCCCTATAGGCCCCCATAACACCCCATAGAGCCCCATAGGCCCTCACAGCACCCCATAGGCCCCCATAGACCTGCATAGACCCCCATAAGACCAAATAGGACCCCACAGCACCCCATAGCACCCCATAGGCCCCACCTCGAGCACAGGCCCGGCCGCCAGCACCCTGCTCTCCACGGCCCCACAGCACCCCATAGGACCCCATAGAGCCCAATAAGCCCCCATAGAGCCCCATAGCATCCCATAGAACCCGGTATCCCGCCACAGCATCCCATAGGACCCCATATCCCCCTACAGCAACCCATAGGACCCCATAAGCCCCATAGGCCCCCATAACACCCCATAGGCCCTCATAGCACCCCATAGCCCAGCATAGGCCTCCATAAGACCTAATAAGACCCAATAGCACCCCATAGGCCCCCATAGCACCCCAGAGAACCCCATAGCACTCCATAGGACCCCATAAGACCCCATAGCACCCCATAGGCCCCCATAGCACCCCATAAGACCCCATAAGACCTCTTAAGACCACATAGGGCCCCATAGCCTCCCATAGGCCCCCATAGCGTCTCATAGGCCCCCATAGTCCCACACAAGCCCTCAGAAGACCTAATAAGACCCCATAACACCCCATAGCACCCCATAAGACCCCACAGCACCCCACAGCACCCCATAGCACCCCATAGGCCCACATAGGCCCACATAGCACCCCATAAGATCTCATAAGACCCCATAGGCCCCCATAGGCCTCCATAGGACCCCATAGGCCCCCATAGGACCCCATAGGCCCCCATAGGACCCCATAGGACCCCATAGGCCCCCATAGAGCCGCATAGGACCCCATAGCACCCATAGAGCCCCATAGGCCCCATAGGCCCCCATAGCACCCCATAGAACCCAATATCACCCCACAACAACCCATAGGCCTCCATAATACCCCAGAGCA